ACATACTTTTTCACAAAAACATTATACCCTGATTTCCCATTTTCAATGGGTTCAAATGCAAATGCACGAATTATTTACGTTATGGTACATATTGTATATCACACATAAACGGATGTCCTACCAAGTCCATTGCAAATGGAAAATGTGAATATAATCTAAAAATATTAATTTATTTATTATTAATTGCGGGAACTATTACGTTTAAGTACGCGCATGGTACTGACGGAGCGGAAGCTTTAGGTCAGTACCCTGATCGTCATAGTCGGTGGCGGTAGCCTAATCTATAATGTGTCACGAGAGCAGCGTTATAGCTTATGTTGAGTCGGTTCACCGACTGTAACATTGTAGCTTATGCTAAGTCAACGACTTAAACTCTTATATGAACTTTATTTTTTTTGACTATATAAAAGAACCGCTAATGCTACGACTAAATAAGATTATTGAAATCGTTTCTGTATGAAACCCGACCGCATCAACCTGAAACCTCAACTTTTCTTCGGCAATCGCCGTTAAGAAATCATATGTTTTATCTGCCACGCCACACTGTTAGCAATTGGATTAACAAAAATAGTCCCAGGAATCAGAGCTCGCAAGTGCAAACAAGAGATAATAATCCTTATAAGTGTAGTGGATCAGCAGCCTAAAATGTTATGTATGCTATCGACGAAGATCACGTAAAAGCCTTGAACTGCTTAATTTATATATGTACATGCTGCATAGAGCCATACATAATTCTCCCAGTTAAATTTATTTTTGGAATGGTATCATTAATAGTACATTTTTTAATCTGACTTAGAGGAGAAATTACGAAATGAAGTAATATACACAAATAGATACAGGTGCAAATATTTGTATCATTTCTTTGAACTAATATTAACTCACCTTGATGCGCTTTGCCCACTCGGTGTCGCTAATTGCAATTATATCCAGACAATAATCACATACTTTTCTAATTTCCTCATTCTTGTCATGCATAAGATCTATAAGATAGGCAGGCGACTCAGTTTCCTTAATCATATACTCCCTTGTACTTTCGTGTCTCAAAATCTGTTGGAACACAAAAATAATTTGTAGCACAATTTCATCATCTTCTTGCTTTGCCTTTAATAGCTCAATCAGTGAAATCACCACCTTTGCGCGACAGAAAAGGAGTGCACAAAGCTCATCGCATGCACATGTTCCCAGATAAACTATAGTATCAAGTACAATATCATCAAGTCTTGCGCAGGGTATTAGTACTTTTCGTATCCAAGATATTAGCTGAAAGTTTTGCAGTATTTGCGAATAATCTAGATCGGTTAAAGTTAGATTTCCTAATAAGCCTAGACACTCTACAATAAAAGATTCTTCTTCACAGATAGTCAGTACACGTGCAAGATCCCCCACATACTCTATGTATTGAAGTTGTAGCGATTCATGCTGTGAAATATTTCGTAATAATTTCATCAAGAGAGCATCCTGGTACTTGAATGCACGATCCATAAGACTGTGGAGACGCTGACCCTCAATCATTATTTGTGCATTACGTCTGTTTAATGACAAATTTATACAAAGAGCAATGAGATCCAGATCAACTTTTACATTAAGATTCAATATAATAGCATCTGTTGCCATTTGTACACACTCCGTGTGAATGAACATTGACTTGACCTTATCATCGAGGCTCATATGATAGAGTATCTTAACTGCGATGGCATGATGATTTTCGTCGTTGATAAACATAACAAGCAGAGGCAGATAGCCAGCTGCAACCATTTTAATTCGCAGAGTCGCATCAAAAGATAGATTGAACACTAGCTTAAGAATAACTTGCACCAAATCAGTATGTGAATTTTGAAATAACCTTGGTAGTTTTGCGATAATATTTAAGTCACACATTTCATCCTTATTTTCGCCAACAATAGACAGTTTTTTAAGAAACGTGCTGATTAATATAAGCAAGTCTATGTTTTGACGATCAAGTGCTTTGACGAGCATTCTAACAATGTGTTTTCTCCTCATTTTTTCCTCAAGCTTTACATTCTCGGCCATGTTAAGCAGCAGATAAAAGGCAACACGAAGTAGTTGTTCCTGCTTCTTGGCAAATACTTTAAGTTGTTTGTTAAGTCGATCAATTTCTTCCTTCTTAATTTTTGGGTCATTTTGGTCTAATGAATCGATGCTTTGCGCTTTTGTCTCAATCAGGGAATTTGTTTCTAATGCACTTGTACTAGAATTTGTATGAGTTCCAGAAGAAAGCGCTTCATGATAACTGTTGTTTAGCATTTGGTTTCTCATAAGCGAAGAAGACATTGTTCCATGAAAACTACTCCAATTACCCGACTTTGGGCGCTGCTTTAACTCTGGTATTCGTCGACGTGGAGGCTCCATCTGAAAATACAATTTTAGATAATTTTATACCCCGCATTCATCGAAAATATGGAAATACAATAACGACAACTACACTATCATAATTATAGCTCACTTATAATCCACTTATAAACGAATCGGCTGAAAATTTTTCCGATATAACATATTTCTTTAAAATCTTAAAATATGGGTAGTTCAATATTGCACCTAAAATTAACGATTTAAAACGAATTTAACGAACAAAAAAAAAACAGCTCCCATTTCCTAAAAAAATCCGAATCTGTTGCGGATTGATGGAAAAACTAGTGTTTATATAGAGTCCGGCCTCCCTTTTCCTTAATTAACTCAAAAATTCTCTTCCCCATTGATTTTTATTGGGTTGAGATCTGAAGAACATGCTGACCAGTCAAGGACATGAACATGACATTCCTTCAAAAACTCCTGTGGACGTCTGCTCACATGGATTCTGGCATTCTCCTGTTGGAAAACCAATGGTATCTCAGGAAATTCCCTTTAATAATGGAATGAGACTTCTATCCAGAGCCTTAATATACTCGTCACTGTTCATACGGCCCGTTATAAACTTTAATTCCAAGATACCAAATAAACAAACTATCCTTGAAAAAAAACAAAGGATCCTTTCTCAAATCATGCTAATCAAACCCATCAGGACCATCCAGGATAAACTTCTTCCCATCAAAAAATATGACCTGTTAGGGTACAAATTTATAATTATACTGTAAGCCAAAAGACGACGATTCAAACTCGTTTATGTGAGATCGGTCGCGACTTATCAACATGGGGGCTTTGGTCCGTTTAGACCTGTTCAGGCATGAACATATGATCGATGATCGTATACATGCCTCCGACGCACTCAAGAATATGTAATAGCCCAATGCTGAGCCTTACACACTCAGCAATAGATACATTA